CGCCTGCATCACAGTGTCAATGGGAATGCGCCGTAAGAGGAGGCGCCACAAAAAAACAGAGATGGTCGGGGTGAGAAGATCGGTCTATATGGCCCCGAAGAGGCGGTTTGGCCGGTTGCCCAGCCTCACTTCTCCCCAGGCTGAAGACGTAGAGAATGCACCCGAAGATGTAAGTCTCCACCTCATGCCATCCAAACCTCCCTCCAGAATGGGAATCTGTCGGATCTGGTCAATCTCTAGACTACTAAAACCCCCACCCTCACCAAGAATATCCTCCATCCTATCTCTATCCTAAAGACCTCCCGTCCAAAGGTCCTTCACCAGCATGAAAGGCAGGTGAGTGACTGGCCTAGTACTCGAGAGAGGGGCCTCGCCGAACCACCACTCATCCCAGAAGCTAACCTCCCCAGAACCCAAAGTCCAAAATATGTGCTCCTGAGCACGTCTGCCAACAGTGGTGAGACGTCTCCACTGTCGACTATCCCGAGCGGTGGCTGTCACCCTGCAGGGATGCGCAGCATAATGTATACAATGTTGGTTATTGTACGGATGTTGGTTAAATTTGCAACTTAGTGGATTATTTTTTATGACGCCCTAGATGATGAACCTTTTTCAGAGAGTGGTCAACATAATGGACCATTTTTTATTTTTACTCTTTTTTAATTTAAAAAATGTTCAAACCTCTTCTACTTTTAAGATGAAAAATTAATAAATTATTATCGGGTTTCTTCCTAAAAGCTTACGAACTATCTACTTTTGAGATGAAAAATTAATAAATTATTATTGGGTTCTTCCTAAAAACATATGAGCAAAATTGGGCTAGAAAACTTAGACTGATATTTAAATGGGGCTACAAATATAATAAGTAATACTAAACTAAAAGAAAAAAAAAATACACGGGCTAGAGCCAACTCTAGCCCAAAGAAGGCTCCGCCGACAGGCACGTGGGTAATATTCTGGTGAGGCAGCACAAGGGGGACACGGCTGACCTGGTACTAATCGACAACTAGTTCTGCCTGTGTTAGATCAAGGCATAAAGAACAATGAAGAACATAGATTTTGGAGAAGAAAAATAAGAACAACTTTTGATTTCTGT